TTCCAAAACTGCTGCTCCAGCACCGGAGTGCAACAACGGGTGCAGGAAAGTTTGCACCACTGCACTTCAGGCAACGGAGCCCATCCTCAGCCCAGAGCTGAGCACCGTGTGTGGACACTGTGTGTGTGTGTGTGTGCGCAGTGTGCAAATGCATGCACAAGTACGTTGGATGCACCCAAAACTCAGGACTGGCACCTGCACCCCCTCCACCCCCCTCTGCCCCATTTCCTTGGGGCTTCACTTGCACTTTGGAGTTGGCTGCTCCCCCGGCGCTTGGAACACTAGGATGGGGGTTTGCTGGGGAATAGCTGACAGCACACTGGAAATAAAGGTCCCAGTGGGATCAGGCCGTGTCCCTGCACTGCTGGGGGGTCCCAGGGATGTGGGTGAGGGCTGCGTGTGGCTCTCAGGGTGTGCAAAGTGGGAGGAGGTGCTGCCTTTGGGCATGACTCATGCAGCGTGCGCTGCTCGGGGTTTATTTTGCTCTCCATCTCTTCTCACCCCTCCGAAACCTCTCTCTCCTGTTTCCTTATCTGGGTGCTTTATGGCTCCGGGCCTGTTCTTCATCTTCCTGCCACCTTATCTTTATGGCTTTGCTGTTCTTCCTCTCCTTGCAGCTCTGGCATCCGAACGAAACTGCGGTGATGCTCTGCAGGACTGCAGCCTTAACCCCTCCCGCTCTGCTCCCAATGGGGCAACCAAACATTGGGGGGCACAGTCCCAAATTGGGGGGCAGGGTGACCTTGGCACTTCCCATCCCCATCTCTTTCCCAACCCTTTTTATTCCCTGGGTTGATGGAAGCTGATCCCCTTCTCTCTTCTCCATCCCACCCAGGGGCACCTCCCCATCCCCACAGGGTCCCACCCGTGTCCCCCCCATTCCCCGTGGGCCACCAGCCCTACTTACACCCCATGAACGCCCTTCAGCAGGAAGAGAAGTGGTGCCAATGGCCTTTGGATGGGAAGGAAGGCTCCAGCCCCCCAGGCATCAGTACTGGAATTAATGGAAAGTCCTCATGGGTAAACAACCCAAGGACTTCCCAGTGGAGCGCAGCCAAGGATGGGATTATCCTGGATTAAGCACCAGCCCCTCCGGCACCGGGTCTGGCTCTCACCACAGCCCTACCCTGTGGGATCTGTATGGGATCTGTATGGGAACCCCAACCTGGGGGGTGCACAGAAGGGTTGGGATCCCACCTTGGTCATCACCCCATTCCCCTCGCTCTGCCTGGTCCTGGTTCCTGGGCTGACGATGGGATTTTATCTCCACCAACCCCAGGATTTGTCCTGGATGGGGCTGTGCAAAGCCATGGGGATGGGCTGCCCACCCTTGGGGACACCCATGGGCACCTCATCCCAATCAGTGGTCATTGGGGCCGGGCTGGAAAGCAGCACACAGCACTGGGAGACAGCAGCTGGTGCTGGGGACCAGCAGGGGACACACAGTGACACCTCCATGCTGCAGAGCCCAGGGCAGCAGGAGATGCACATCATCACATTCCATGCATACATTGCAGCCCTCGGTGCTGCCAGGACCCAAACTGGGGATTTTGGAGCCGGCGCTGAATTAATTCAGTGGGATGGAGCATCCTGTAAGAGGTGTCTTAAAATCAAGATGCTTCCCTTGGAATGGAGGAACAACACTGAAGTGGTGGTGGGAGGGGATCCCAGGGGTCTCTTATCCAAACCCTGCACTGAGCTCCACTGCAAAGGGGCTGAGACATTTTGGAGACCCCCCCGAGCAACACCAAAAGGGTTTTGCAGCACAAAGAAGAAGGAAACCAGGACTGCATGGAGCAGAGGCTCAGCACGGGTGTACATTTGGGAACACACAACCATCACTCGGTTCCTTTGCTGTCCACCCATCCCGCAGCCCAAACCTTTTCCCATCCCCTCCCCACCCCCAACTCCTCCAGAAGTTTCCCTGCTTTCTCCTGCAATTTCAGCCCCGTTTTCTCCGGTTCTGCTGGAGATCTGAGAGCACTCAGGTGAATCCTGACGGGCCACGCTCCACTGCCTCCATCCCTGCACGACGTGAGGATGGAGCTGATCGCTGCGGGTGGGATGCTGCCCTGCAGCTGTCTGAAACACGAAGCAAATCCCTTCCTCCCCAGTGCACACTCACTCCTGGACAGGGTTTGTATGCCAAGCAGTGTGGGGAGATTATTCATCCACCTCCTCCCCGTGCTCGTGCCCTTCCCTTGGTGCATCAGCGTTCCCCAGGCATTTTAATGGGGGAAGATGCTCTGAGCTCCATCCTCATCCCCAAAATGGGATGGAGAGATGCTCTGCCCCATGCCGAGGGGCATAATGGGAGAGTATGGGGTGTACTGGTGGGGTGTATAGGGTGCCCTGGGGACTCAGGTCGCAGCCAACCAATGTATTGGGTCTTTGGGACACTCTGGAGTTGCTCCCACACGTGCAGCCCTGGGGGACCAGGAGGATTTGGATCGGGTCCATCCGCTCCGTGCTCCCCCAGGTGCTCCAGGGCTGATCCCTGCTAATCCCACATTGGCCCAGTGCCCTGGCTCAGCACCTTCCCACCACCCCATCCCCTCCAATTGCCTTCATAAGGGGCAGAACAGAGCCTGGGCTCATCCTGGAGCTGCGGTCACCACCTGAGCTCTGTGGGGATGATGAAGCTCTACACAGTGCTGCTGCTGGCTGGGTTGGCCTGCTGCCTGGCTGTGGGCTGTGAGTAGAGCAGGATCCCAATGGGGCAGGATGTCCCTTAGGGGACGTCTGTCTCACCAGTGGGGTGGGCTGTCCCCACGCCCAAACCCCCCAGCCTGGGGTTGGTCACACTGTGTCTTTTCCATTTGCAGTGCCCATCAATGAGACGCCGACCGTGGGGCAAGGTAAGTGGGGGTCCTGTGTGGGGATCAGTGGGGCTGGGGGCTGAGATTTCACTAGGAACTCTCTGAGCATCCCAGTCGTACAGAGAACTCTCCTGGGGTTTCTCCTGTGCTCTGTAGGTGGGTGAGCGATGCTCCTTCATCCCTCCCTGCCCTCCCAAGCGTGGGATCTGAGCTCCCTGCAGCACGAAGCAGCTCTGGGGATGGGGTGGGAGGTGGTCCGTGCAGGCACAGCTCACGGAGGGGGCAGCTCCCAGACCCTCATTTCTCCCCACAGATGTGAAGGTGAGCAGCAGAGCTGCCGAAGGAGCGCTGGTGGATTTGGCAGACGTGGTGGAAAGCCTCCTGCGCTCCCTGGGGGACACCTTGGCTGGGGCGGTCAGACTGCTGATAGGGGGAAAAGCGAGTGAGAAGGGATCAGGGTGGGAGGGTTTGGGGGCTGAGGTGCTGAGGGGCACCCACAGCCCCCTCCTGTATGGGATGGGGACATATCTCACCTCTCTCCTAACAGAATAGCGAGCAGCCGGCGTGGTGAGCGCTGCCCTCCCCTGCAGGGGACGTGGTGACATGGGGACACCGTGCTCTGCCCATGGGTTCTGCTTCATTCCAAGGTGCCACCAATGCCACCTGCTCACCCTGTGGCTTTTCCCGTGTGAACAAGGCTCCAGACAAAGCTTCCAATAAAGCAAACTGCTAATTGCTGCTTGTCCTGTCCCTCCTGCTGCTTGCCCACAGAGGCTGCGCTCTGACCCGGGGTGCTTTCCTGCTGCCATCTCTCTCAGATGAGTGGGGTCTTCCCACAAACCAAAGACCCAATTTCAGTGTTTGGTGGCTGAATCCCATGGATTCCTCGTGCTATTGCAGCAAACCCACATCCTGGCACTGTCACACAGAATCACAGAGCTGTAGGGCTTGGAAGGGACCTCTGGAGGTCACTGAGTCCAAACGCATTGCTAAACCAGGTTCCCTATGTCAGGTCTCACGGGTGGGAATCCACTCAGGGCATCTTGAGCATCTCCAGAGAAGGAGAATCCACCACCTCTCTGAACAGCCCATTCCAATGCTCCATCACTCTGACAGCAAAGTTTTCCTTGTGTTAGTATGGAATTTCCTGTGTCCCGTTTTCTGCCCCTTGCCTCTTGTTCTACCATTGCTCAGCGCCAAAAAGAGCTCACCCCACTGATTCCTATGTGTGGTGCTCCTACGATGCCCACCGACCCTATGCTCAATGTCTGCAGTCCTTTCTCCACTTTAGAGACCACCCCACTGCTGCATCCCCCCCAAACCTGTCCTGCAGACAGACCCCAAACCCCCAACCAACCCACCCCACTTTCCCATCGTCTCATATGCTGGCTGCTCAGTCCATGACATCCTCCATCCCCATGTCCCATCACTTGGGTGACATTCTTGGGGACATCCAGAAGGCACCACAGCTCACCTCCATCCTCTACTGGACTCTCCAGCCCCATGGCACGGCTGTAGGGTGACCCAGTGGGATCTGGGTGCTCAGAGGAAGTTTGGAACACATAGGAGGGCTTCACCCATGCCTTGAGCTGTGGGGTTAGGCTGCTTTCTCGCTGTGGGAAAAGGCATAAGGGACACTGGGGCTGTGCTGGTGATGGAGAGCAGTCTCCAAGCACAGCTTCTCGTTTGGGATCTCATGGGAGCATCCTATAGTCCCCAGGAGGGGACGTGGGCCATGACCCCGTGCTCTTGGTGTTGTTACCTTCAAGCAGTGCCTGCAGGTCCTGCGCCCTTCCCTGTGCCCCTCACTGCAAATCCCCACCTGGCTTCGGTGCAGCTCCTGGGGCGATATTTGCTCAGTGGGTTTCCTGACCCCCAAATGGATGAGAAGAACTGGGATGCTCAGTGGGGAGGGCGTTTGGATCCAGCCCCAGCTCAGATGCTTCTCAGAGCCAATTTGGCCAATCTGTTGTGATCCAACCCTGTGCCAGGACCCCTCCCACCCGGATGCCTCCTGGGTTATTTCCCTTCCTGAAATTCCCCTCTCATTAGCAGAGTTCGTTAACTCCAGAGGGCTTTTCTCAGCCCTTTGCAGTCTCACTCACTCACTCTGCTGGCAGGATGGCTCTGGGCTCTCCCAGTGCCCCCATTCAGGGGGATGTGGCACTCTGGGGTGCCCTGGATGCAAGGAGGGCTGGTGGCTTTTGGGGACACAGAGTGTCACAGGGTGGTGGTGCGCAGGGGGGGACCTCCTCCTCCCTCCTCCTTGGTGCCACGTCCTCCACCTTTTGCCAACCCCTTCAGGGCTGATGGGGTTCCCCTTTCCCCCTGCTCAGCCACTAGGAGTTGGACCATTCCTCCCTCACTGCTGACCCACTGATGTTCCCATGGCAGCACCCACCACCAACCCCATCTCCTCCACCACTCTGCGAGCATCCGTGCACCACCCACCCGTACACAAAGGGTTTTTTTTGGGGATGGGATGTGACAGAGATGACTTAAATGCTTCTGCTGTGCTGGAGAAATCCACGCTGGGCTCCCACTCCCAGCAGTGCCCATCACAGGAGAGTGGGCACCATCCCTGGGTGCTCTCCTGATCCATTTCCCATCTCTTTCCCTTCTGATGCCTTCTGCTTGGGGAAGGAGCTTGGTCTTCAAGCTCAACAGCAGCTGGCATCTCCCATCCAAAATAAAGCCCCATCCGTGAGCTCCTCCCCACTTTCTTCACAGCCCAACCTTGCGTGGGGGGCTCAGGGTGTCAAATGCGCAGCGTTGACACCCCGCTGTGCCGAAAACAGCCGGGGGATGCTGGGTTGCCATGGCGATGAGGATGATGCTGGCAGCGCCGTGGGAGGATGCTGATCTACCCAGGAGTGGGGGAGAAGATTCTTGTCTTCTTCTTGGAGCTGTGGATACGTCCCAGAGCACGGGGAAAAGTGCAGAGTGGTGGTGAGGAGGGGTTGGTCCCATGGGGATGTACCCCAAAAGCTGTGTGTGTGTGCAGGGAGTCGTGCTGGGAAAGCAAAGCAGAGCTTTCTGGTGTCCCTGACCTCTACTCCAATGCTTTCTGGTGTCCCACACCAACAAACCAATGTTCCCTGTTGTCCCAAACCAAAACTCAGTGCCTTCTGGTGTCCCTCCTGTGGGACCTATGGGAATCCTCATGGACTTGATGAACTTTGCTTCAGCTTGGAGCATTAGGTTTAGGGATAGGAGGATGGACAAATGTTGTCCACCACCAGTGCATTTCAAAGCCTTTTCTCCAGCAGTGTGGGGATGCTTTAAGAGCAGGTGGTGGCAATGCCCTAGAGCAGATTCTCTGCAGAAAAGCAGACCTGGGCATGCAGGTGCAGAGAACAATGGCTGAACCTTGTTTGCTGAGCTGCCTTCTGCTCCCATCACAGAATCACAGAACCATAGAATCATAGAACTATGGAATGGTTGGGTTGGAAGGGACCTGAAAGATCACAGAGTCATGAGATGGTTGGGTTGGAAGAATCTGAAAGATCACAGAGCCATGGAATCATTGGGTTGGAAGGACCTGAAAGATCACAGAGCTATGAGATGGTTGGGTTGGAGGGGACCTGGAAGATCACAGAGCCATGGGATGGTTGGGTTGGAGGGGACCTGGAAGATCACAGAGCCATGGGATGGTTGTGTTGGAAGGGACCACCACCTTCCAGCACTTCTGAGCAGCTCAGAGCACCCAGCTGTGCTGTGCACCCACACAGCAGTGCTCTGATGGCACATTCTCCCCTCTGCACCAGCCAAGGAAAGCACAGGGGGGTGGATAAACGTATGCAGCGACAACAGCAGCACCGCCAGCAGCAGCTCCCACCTCCAATGTGCCACCTCAGGTGAGAAAAGTCTCATCATGCAGTGAAAAGTGTGCCGTGTTTTGCTGACAGAAGGGCTGCTGGGAGCTGCCAGAGAGTGGGATGTCCTCGGGGAGATGGCACACACCATCCTGCTTGTTCTCTGAGGTGGGTTATGGCATCAGCAGCGATGGGTTTTTCTTGGGGTGGAGCGAAGCCTGAAGGAGGCTGTGGCTGACAGAGCCCTGGTGGTTACACAGAGCGGGGTGGATTTGTCCCCAAATCGTGGGGATTGACCTTAAAAAGGTGAAACTTTTGGCACCAAAGCACAGATGCTCGCAACAGGAGGTGGGGATGGGGCACCCATGGTGGTGGTACCCAATGACAGCAGGATGCTGAGCCCCCAAAGGTCCCCAAAGGACTGGGGGAGGGGGGCACTGGGGGTTATGGAGTGCACCTCCACCACTGCACCCCCTCCACCCCTACAGAGGGTGTCTGAATTCCACCCCAGCAACCCCAACATGAAGCTCTGAGCCACCCTGTCATCCCATTACCTGGAGATGCAGCAGCCCTGGGCGCTGATGGGTTTGGATGTCACCCAAACATGAGCACACCTCGTTTACCCCCACCCTTCCTAGGGGCTCCAGGAGGGGACGCAGCCCCCCCCCAGGGCATCACCTCTTGCTGCACTCTCTGCTGTTTGTAAGCCAGGCCAATTCAGGAGCCTGGAGCTGACCCAGCTGGCTGCGAGGATCTCAGTTAACTCAATTCACTGCTATTACTGTCAGTCAGACCTAACGACCCGACGCGGAGTATCAGCCCTTCGAGGACCCGTTTCTAATTAATGCCAGCTCATAAACTAATTAATGGATTTGCTTGTAAATTCTAAAATCCACACTCCCTGCAAAGAGCAATCCTTTCTCTTCGGGGAGAACGCTCTGTGAGGACGCTCACATCCAACCCCAGCCAACATCCCCCTGCTTTGCTCTCCAGCAGCCTGGAAAATCACCCTTGGCCGGGTCCAGGTGCCCGCGTTGGGTCCCAGCTCCATTTCCCTGGGGCTGTTTTCCTCTGAGCAGCACAGGGCTGGGAAATCTTCACGCCTGGCCGGGATTTGGGTCGGGGCCAGTTGGACCGGGACCTCGGCCGTTCCTGGGGGCGGTTGTGGGGCTGTGGGGGAGGCAGCTGTGCCAGGAGGCTGCCAAGCGGGCAGGGAGCGCAGCCATGCCCGCAGCGCAACATCTGGGGCCCACAACGGCCAGCCAGGCAGCAGTGTCCTCATCTGTGCCAAGGAACACTCCTCCTCTTCCCCTCCTCCTCTTTTTCTTCCTCTCCTCCTCATCCTCCTCCTCCCCACCTCCCCCTCTTCTTCCTCTCTTCCTCCCTCTCTCCGTCCTCTCCTCCTCCTCACCTTCCCCTACTCCATTTTTTCCCCTTTTCCTCTTCTTCTTCCTCTCCTCCTCCTCTCCTCTCCATCCCCATTCATCCTGCCCAAGGCAGGGGACTGAGGACAAACCTCCTCCATCCTCTGGGGACTTCTGGACAGGCTCTTACTGGGATGAATCCAATCCCAAGAGCCACGGCCACCTTGCAGGGATCCTTCTATTCCCACTATGATGGGTGAAAGGGTCAGAAGTGGCCTCTGAGACACCCAGGAATTGGTGCTGAGCATCAGATCCCAACTTTCTGAGCACCGAGGCTGCGTGCTGCCCCATGCTCTGCTCTCACAGCCCGTCCTGCATCCTTTGCCCCACGCAGCAAGCGGTGCTCAGGACTACACGACCTCTCCAACTTGGGGACCTCAGCGCCCAGCAGCTCCCAGTGCCCCCAGTTTGCACCAGCGCCCCCAATCCTGGGATGGAGAGCATCCAACCGCGGGACACGGACACCCAGCGGGCTGTTGAGTTTT